GATCTACTTGGTGGTACACCGGATAGCTGCCGGCAGTCAACAGGTGTTCGTACTCCGGAATATTCGCAAGATGCAAATTCATTTACATACAAGGATTCGTCGGTACAAGGATTCATCTACTACATGGATTGATCGGTACAAGAATTCGTCTACTACCTGGATTGATCGGTACAAGAATTCGTCTACTACCTGGATTGATCGGTACAAGAATTCATCTACTACATGGACCCCCTGAAATCGTCAGGAGGGTAATGAAAAATACTTAAATCAATGAAATATGGAAATTATCCAAGAGGTTGTGAATATGTAGGTAGGGCGATGAACTTCCACCAGATATAGCCTCACAACGGAGAAAACGGCTTCTGAGTTACTCTACTCGACAACGCCAATAAACAGGTAAAATTGTCAGAGATTTTACGTGAATGATGGCAAATATTACCCACTGGTTTTAGAAGAATTCACAATGCCACGCTCTACAAGTACAACCTCGTTGGCTTTAAAACGGAAATGAAGTGAAAAATTAACGCGATCCTGCGCAAGGAAAGAAGCACGCGTACAAGTGGCGCCATCTCACCTATATCCTGCCTAACGTAGCAAGCGGTAATTTTGAAATTTGAATATAAATAAACTAAACTGTTACAGCAGTAATGTTACCTTAGTTACAATAGTTTAAGAATTTCGATTTAACATATTTTATAGAAAGTGTAGAAACTACAACATACACTTGTATTCTATACAATAGTCCGATACTTGCAAAAGTTAAAGGCTGCGATTTTAAATTGCTTTTCAAACACGACGTATTGAATGTAAATGCGAAAAGTTTGTGGAAGGTAATGGAGTTGCATCTCGGAAGTATGCAGGCAGGTATTAGTTGAAAAACTTGTATCTTGCACTCTGAATGTTTGAAACTGAAGCTAACTGCATTTACCGAAATCTTGTCCCGAAGAAACTCACTGTAAATTTAACTTCTGATATTGATAAGAAAGTGCAATAAAAGAATTGAGGATGTTTTAAATTAAAATATTTGATTCGCGTAAACAGTAAATGCATTCGCTATGAAAGCCATCTTCGACATAGACAGTGCTGTTAGTTATTTTGTAATATGTTGAGAACTTTCTTGTCTTATCGTATTGTAAGTGAAATACTACCCCTTATGATCCAAGTGGAGCTGTAATCGATTTTAATTTAATATGTTTACTTCAGAGGAAGTTTGGTTAAAAGTTTTTTCTTCCAGCTACTCAATCTTAATTATTGTCAAAAATTAATTTAACTTTTAATTGACAGTCAATTGGAAACTTAAAGGAGTGTTATATTATAAGTAGGTGCAACAACCTCAAATAATACGTACCTATACGCTTGTTGATGGTAACAAACATGTTTAAAAGAAAATAGAACGGAAACCGATTCACTTGGTTGAAAATACATGCAAGACGGGGAACTTTACATGCTAATATTCGAAAACAAAGGTATGCCCCCCTCGCTATCTAAATCGGTGTATTTTGCATTTTTTCTTATCATAACAAATGCTTTGTTTCTAAATGAAAGCCCTGTACTTAAGTTTTCAACCTTTCGCACAGTATGTCGTTTATGCTATGAAATAAAACAGGCAATAAAGCTTAAGATACTAACAAGGTGCTGTCGCAAACGAAATCAAGGGGAAGATGATTTAAATTCAAACCTGCAACTGTAAATAGAACACCATTTCCTTTACAGAAGTGCTTTATGTTTTATTGGTATTCTGGAATAAATCTATTCTCATTTTATTGCCGCTTAGAAATAGAATTTCGGCAAATTCCCGCCGACTGGCTGTTTCGGTAGATAAAAGATAGCAGATCTGAGCAATAACTTTGGCTGTTGCTTTTGTGAAAAGGTTGCATACAAAATATGAACAAATGCGTATTTTATACTTGTACCGTTTACCTTATCTTTATATGTGATACATTCAGCAATAAAACGTGTATAACAAAATTACTGGACAAAAACGACAGTCAAGGAACTCTAGTTTCATTTCAGTTTGGCCAACAATGTTACTGTTAAAATATTACTGGGACTGAACGCGTTATTCTGGGGGAGATGGCGAAATTGCGTTATCCTTGCCTTTCGCACGCAGTCAATTTCACACTGAAATGAATTTACAAATGTTGTAGACAGTTGACTAAGTTGTAGAAACCTAATATTCTCTTTCCCTAATTAACTTGCCGTCCGTGTTTTGACTTCTGACCTGTAAAGTCAATGGAGCTTTGACATGCATATTGAGCAGGAGCGATTCGGGAATAAAGTAAAATTAGGCAGTTCATTTAAGTGATCATCGTAGTTTTATGTTTTTCTTTGTTTGCGCCCGATTTTCCAGATGTAAACCTCGCAATAGAAAGGGCAATACCATGAAATTTCCATACAAATTACTACAGTCAAGATAACAATCGTAATGGAAATACTACTCTAATGTATACATGTAAAACGGATTAGCACTAATGAATCCGTAAACAATATTGTGGCAGTAAATTCCTCTCTGGACCTTAACAATTAAATGGACATGTCATATCACCAAAAATACTTTTCGAGCCGGTTTTTCATGTCTCAGGTAAACTGACAGATAATTTCCATGTAAAGAAATGTATTCACATAGGAGGATAAATTAGACCGGCTCTTAGAGTCATTTTCATGCATGGATATCTGGGATTACTTTTTATCGCATTTTTGATGCTCAAAAAGGAGCTTATTGTTTCACTAAATGTCGTCTGTTCGGGCGTCTTCTATAAATCGATCGAGATCTCGGCAACGGCATATCGTAGAACTTTCCGGTTTTCGACATTATATTCGTACTGTAACGTAAATTTAATTACGTGGTTTTATTTATTTACAATTAACTAACAATAAATTTATAGGTCTTAAAATGGTTTAATTTATAACAGTAATTATTATCTATCACTTACAATTTATAACATAACACAAGCGCTTCGAACTTGGAATTGACTGAAACGCGACTCAACTCACATAGCAAATGGCAATTCTACTAGAATGCTTAGGACGCTCCAAACAAATCTTTAGATTCCTCACGGACAACACCAAAGAGTGCCCTTTGCGCTCCGAACCATTTCTTCACATTTTGTTTGCAATTCATCCAATAGTTTGCAGTCTTTCGAACCATCTGACCACTTGACTTTCTGAACTCTTAAATTGCAATAACCACTGCAATCCGGCATGGTCGGTCGGTCCTTCGACTTCGAGCCATGCTATGGCTAACTATTATGGCTAACAGTTCCCTTCGGGTGACACAGTAATTGTGTTTTGGTTTAAAGAAAACTTTACTGAAATATCCAATGACTTTCTCGTTCCCCTCCTGCATTTGGGATAGTACATCAGCGCCCATTCCAACATTATTAACATGTGTATCTAACACGAAGTCCCCTTCTCATCTAGTATAGCTGAACACCGGAGCTGTAACCAAAGCTTGTTTGAGATTTTCAAAAGCATCGTCCTATTTGAATTCTGTGTTCCTCTGTTAGCTTGATCAATGGCTTCGCAATATCGGCAAATCTAAGAAACAAATCTCCGGTAGTACGTGCATAGGCCCAAGAAATTTCGTATTTCATGTTTATCTTTTTGTTGGGGCCATTCTTGCACTGCACCAACTTTATCGGGATCCACTGTCACTCCATTCTACGAAACCAAAAACCAACACCTCGTGCTGCCATCTTTCTTCTTCACCAGCGCCACAAGTGAGGTCCAAGGGCTGGTTCAATTATTCCTTGACTAGCATATCGCTTCGTTGCGTAACCCATGGTAGTCTTCGTGGAAGTTGTTTTAAGAGGTTGGGATCTCCCGTATTTACCTTGTGTTACCATATTGCTTCGGTCGACAAGTCCTTTCTCAACCCGTCCTAGTTTTCCTGATTATTACTCGCTGTACTGTCGGCGCAAGTTCTTTTAGTGTGTCTGTTTTTTTCACAGCCCAAGCATCGTAGACCTCGTCGTTTTGTCCGTTGCTGCTCCGCTCCAGTAATCTTTATAAAACTCCAGAGCATGCGCCAACGCCTTTTCTAAGTTCTCATGTCGCTGGTCACTACTGCCATAAACTTTCACTAATTGTTCACTTAAAAATAACCCCACACCTGACCCCAGTGTGACGTAAATTTAATTACGTTGTTTTATCGCCACATCCGCCTCCGTTCTTTATCGCCAATTACTAATCTTTCATAGCGCCTCGATGTCTATCGAGATTTCCGGAATGTTCACTACAGTACTATCGTGTTATTCCTGCATTAGTCGGAAAGCTGAAAGCCATTCCTGAAGTTTTTAAATTTAATTTAATTATTAACAATTTAGAATAATCTGAAACATGTGGCAGAAAAATCAGAAATTTAAATATTCGAATATATCGGAAAAAATTATTTCACTTCAATGTTAGCGTGCTCTTAAATCACCTTTTTATTTCCCTTTGTAAAACAATTATAAATTGTATGAAAATTACAAGAGATTAAACTGTTAAATCAAAAAATATACCTACTGGTCAGATAATTAAAGTTATCTTACTAAACGATATGACACGTAATTCTAAATAAGCACGTATAAAGTTTAATAAACCATTAATTAATATACACATGATTCACCGATAGTTCGTACAAAACGGAAATAGTAAAGAGAAAATTCTGTACCTTCTTCAGTGCTAATAATTTCGCCAGATTGGGGTTCAACCGTGTATCATAGGCGCCTGGAGGTTGGATTCAATGTACTGCACCGCTCACTTCTTCTAAATAGAATTCACGTAGTGTTGACGGGGACGTACACTCCTGAAGAATTAGCAAAACCGTATTTTCGTCCAAATCATCATTCAAAAACACACGCAAGCTTTTGTTACACAAATTGCAACAAGAACACAGCAGTTTTCAGGACAAGACGCTGTTTAATTGGATGTAGATTAAAAAATCATAAGATCAAACGAACTTACCCAAGTGATGTTCGATCTTGATTATATGAAGACCTCGTCGAAGTAAATAAGCACAATGTAGTACCTTCATTCCTGTGGGATACGTCACAATTTTAAAGCTCGCGTTTCTCTCCATGCTCCGCCCCGCACTGTATACCATGTAAGCTTCAGTTTCTTTAAAGTAGCTTGTCGCAACCCAACCGGGGCAAATTCCAGAGGGTGTGGTGGGACCTTATTTACTTCGACGAGGTCTTCATATAATCAAGATCGAACATCACTTGGGTAAGTTCGTTTGATCTTATGATTATATTCGACCTCGTCTCGTAAATAAGCACAATGTAGATGTTTAAAGACGTTGCGACAACCATGAACGTTTATTTACATAACGTTTACATATGTCTTAATTCTAAGGAATCGAAAGCAGATACTATCCTTAATCTCCTAACACTGTTTCAGCGAAAGATTTGTCCGAACATATAGGTCTATTGTACACCGTAGCAAACATATTGGAATTCTGGGACCACCCCGCCGATAACCGAATAGTATCAAAGTTAAGCCCTTTCCTACTAGCAGCAGATGTTGCTGCATGTCTGGTACTATAGGCAGAAAATTTTGTAACGTCCACGCCACTTTTTTGCAAAATAATCTTAATCCATCTGCTAAGGGTTTGTGCAGTTGCCTTGTGGAACGGCTTTCTTGTTGATAAAATCAAAAACCTAACTGATCCCCTCCTAACTTCTGTTTTATTTATATATAGTAAAACGGTTCGAGCTACACAAATCTCCGGATCCAAATCTAAAAAAGGCAATCTTAATACCGGTTGTAATCTATTTCTGCCTGATGTTTTAATCCGACTCGGTATCGTGATAGTTAAGCCTTTGGTGTCCCTATAAATATTTGAAATTTCTATTAACGTTAAGGTTTGTAACCTTTGACCCGTTGCCAGCGCTAGCAAGGCTGTAAGTTTGTGCGTTAATGTATCAATACTTATTTCCGAATTTTTAAGTCCCCTTAAATAATCTAGGACGACTGCCGGATCCCAAATATTGTCGTACTTAGGTTTAGTCGGTCTAAGCATAAAAACACCCTTAAAGAACTTTTTTAACCTATAATCTTGACTCACTTGGGGTCCCCCTAATTGAGCAATTGCCGATCTATAAGTATTGAGCGAACCAAAAGAGGCACCTATATTAAATTGTTCGGTTAAGAATTCCAAAACGTTTGTTACTAAAACAACGAGGGGGTTAATACCTTTTCGCTGACAGAACTCGCACCAGCGTTTCAACCCCCCTCTATATTGTTTTACCGTTCCTTCTGATATCGATGCTACGCATATGTCCAGGCTCTCTTCTGGCACGTTCCTGCGACGTAGCGCTTCCCGTATAATTTCGCGCTCATTAACGACAAACTTCCTGCTAGCGGATGTCGGATTCTGCCAACAGAAAGTAAACTATCGTCAGGTGTCAATATTAGGGGTTCGCCTACTATCAAGGAAAGATAAACGGGGTACCATGGTTGGGTCGGCCAAACAGGGACCACCATAATGCAAACAGTACTATCCCGAATAATTTTTTCCAGAGTCTTTAGAATCAACGAAAATGGGGGGAATGCATAATAAAGGAAACCTTCCCATTTCAATGTAAAGGCATCCACCGCCATAGCACCCGGGTCTCTGAACCACGATACATAATTTTTACACTTGTTATTCAATCGACTGGCAAACAGATCGATTTGTGGTGCCCCGTGCTTTTTTATTAACCTGGAGAAGGCAGAGTCGGAGAGACTCCATTCAGTCTCGACGCTTAACCCTCTCGACTCTGCGTCAGCTTCCACGTTATCCTCGGACTTGATATACGAAGCGAACAAGAATAAGCCTCGCTTTTCACACCACTGCCAAATATTCCGTGTCAAACAATTTAATTTTGGAAATCTTACACTTCCCATCCGATTTATATATGATAACGCCGTGGTGTTATCTACTCTACATAGAATTGCACAATTTCGAAGTTTTGCCGCAAAACATTTAAGCGCAAAGAAAACAGCTAGCAACTCTAAAAGGTTTATATGATTTCTTTTTTCAGACTCTGACCAAAGGCCCCTAGCCCTAATTCCTCCACAGTAAGCTCCCCCCCCCGTGGAAGACGCATCTGAAAAAACTTCTAGAGAATAATTTCTTCCCCCAATCTCATTCTCACTCTGAACTAAATTCATTTTCCACCAACGAATTTCCCCTTTTAATTTTTTCGGAATTTGCATAATTCCTCTATACGAACCTCCGTTCGCTTCGAGGGCTTTATATTTTTCCCTTTCCAACATCTTTGTATACAACATTCCATACTTAACTGCACGACAAGTGGCCACTAATTTGCCCGTAATCCTGCAAAATGATTTTATGGAACAGACTCTAGTATTTTCCATTTTTGACAATTCGGCTAATAATTTAACTAATTTTTCCTTTGGCAAGGACACCGTCATTTTTATGGAATCATAAACAAAGCCTAAGTAGGTGCACGTGTTACTAGGAACTAAAATACTTTTCTTACTGTTAATAACAAACCCTAATCGTTGTAAAATATATACGGTTTGACGTACGTTTGACAAACAATCGGTATATGAATTGCCAAGCAACAAAAAATCGTCTAAATATATGACCGAGACGTGACCCTGTGCTCGTAAGTATGCTACCACAGACAAAATTGTCTGTGATGCTACTACGGGTTTCATGACCTTCGTGAACAACATAGGCGCGCAATTCAACCCGAAAGATAAGCAGTTATATTCGTACAATATTCCACTAAAAGTGAAACGTAAGTACTTCCTGTCACTCTTATGAATGGGAATTAAATGATACGCGTCTTGCAAATCTAATTTAGCTAAAAAGCAACCAGCTGTAATTATATTATTAACAGTTTTATGGTCCTCTAATTTAAAATGGTCAGTTTTTACAAATTGATTAAAGTGTTTCAGATTCACAATTAATCTCCAGGTGCCATCCGGTTTAGGAGCCACAAACACATTTGAAACGAACTGATTTTTACATGCTTTAACAATCGAAATTGCACCTTTTTGTAGCAATTTCTGAATTGCCCTTGCAATTTCAGCTTTCTCGGACGCAGAGTATGTTGGCTCCACCGAAATGTACCTTTGAACTGGTGTTTTAGCGAAAGGTAAACGAAATCCTTTCAACCACGATAATAACACTTTATCATTTGTTAACTCTTTCCAGAAAGTTATGAAATGTCTTAATCGTCCTGCGGTTCTTCTTACCTCTAAAAGCGATGGTATTTCGTTTCCTTGTACAGATGGCGCCGATGTCCCTGAGGATCTCGATTCATCAGATTCATGCGTCTCCCCGTTCTTGACTGGCTGTTGCTGCTGGTGGGGACTTGCCGATGTCGTCCACCCTGCCCCTTCGCCTGACGATTTTGGGGTGGACCTTTGAAGTTTAACGCCGGTCTGTGAATTACTTTTTTAGGGAATGTCTTTACGGATTTCAGCTGGTTGGAAGAAATTTTCAAATTCTTTGCCGATTTTAAGTTTTCTTCCAAATTCTCGCCAAATAACCAAGAATCTATCGCGGTTTCAGCGACTGTATCCTTCCAATCCCTATTCAAATTCAAGGAAATTAATTCCTTTCGGGAAACACTTTCTCGATGATGCACATCCGCGAGTAAGCGTCCCGCATCACTTAATTGTTCGATGAGTGGCTTAAACTCATCCCCTTCCTTGTTGATTAACTGTGTAAGCGCTAAACCTATAGCTGCTAAACCAGAGCTTATCTGCGTTTGTAATTTTGCAAGGCGAAAATCTCGTTTCTCCACCGAATCCGTCACGGCGTGTTTTACTACCAGATTCAGCTTCGGTGCGTCCCAAAACCCCGCGTTTTCGGGAGAAGGGTATTTCTGAATTAATTCGACACATTTGTCCTCAGACAGCCCCCGCTTAAAAATATTAATCCATCTTTCAGTAACTTCTTGCTGAATAGGTGGACCTTTAACACTATCGGATTGCGAATCATTTCCGAGTATAGATAGCACATCCTGGTTCAAGGTTGATGGTGGCGCCGGTACTTCCTCTACGTCGTCGCCTTCCACTACACAGAAAAAAAAAAAAGGTGGATAATAAGACCCGTTCATCACAATCTGGGACTAAAACGTCCCATGATTCAATTACTGTTATCACAAGCAGTATAGCGTGATTCCGCTCAAGATTGTCATCACCAACAACCTGGTGCTATCCCAAGCAACCGTTGAGGTCGGGGAACATGACTATTATCACAAATAGTCGGCCGCTATCACAAGCAGCCCTACGAGCGGTGAGTGAGAAATCACTTAACGCTACAAGATAGCCCCCTTGGATATAGTTACCTTGATTTAAGTCATCTTCGGAGAAAGCACTGCGTGCACTCGCATCGGAATCCGAGTCTAATGTAACGCGTTTTTGGGGTGTTGGAAAATCCCCAGAACTGGAATCGGAAGAGGGCAACCGCTTTCTTTTCTTAAAGCTTTTGCGTTCGAAAGCATCCATCCGACGCTCTAGCCTACGCAGAAGAGTAAGTGTTTCGTCCTTATACTTTCCGGGCGACCGCGAACGCTTAGAATGTTTCGATGTCGACATAATAACAATCGCGACGTAACCGTACCACACAAAAAAGAAGACTGAAGCTTACATGGTATACAGTGCGGGGCGGAGCATGGAGAGAAACGCGAGCTTTAAAATTGTGACGTATCCCACAGGAATGAAGGTACTACATTGTGCTTATTTACGAGACAAGGTCGAATATAATGGAACGTTTTCGTTATTACTATTGGTAGCTTAGGCATCACCACAATCTACGTATTTCCGGCGCGCACTTTATATTTGATTTCATCGCGCTCTTTCCGATTTAATTTATAGGTATTTACATAAATAAAATACACTTATTTATTTTCTTGCGTCGCTATTATCGCTTTTAATTGCTACTCTACCGGCGAGTTAATTCAGCACTCTACTGATCTTGCGTACACGCGCTGTTCACAATTTGGCCCAAAAACTCGCGTCCCTAACTATATCTTACCTCACATCCTACACGCCTTATTCACAATCCCAGCTAAAAATAACTTTGCGTTCTTCGACCTAACAAAATATCGCATGATAAATTAGCACTTCCACGATACAATATTAATTTTTATATACGAGTATACATACCTTTCTTCTAAATTAGGAATAAAAAGTGATCAATTGTAAGTAGCGCCCACTATATCGGGCATTACCACATTATGGAATGCCCGAACTATTGTAACTTCGCAAATTTAAATGGAAACATGTAGGAAAATTGTGCTATGCTACTATGGATTCGCCGATGACCTCAAAACTTCAACGAATCTGTCGATGGGGTCTTCAAATCTGAATATCTCGAGAACGGGGTGTCGGAAGAGATACCTCTCATAGGGAAAATGGATGGACGAGATGTATGAATCGGTAGGGTCAAATGATCGAATCCGAGTATTTATATAAATAAACAATTTTCGTCAGTATACAACTGTATCTACTTCTTATAGAAATTTTTTTTCTCCTCCCCTCAAACTTCCCAATTGTATCACAAGGATTAAGAGCATTAAGCATTATTGCGACTACTTCAAAACACTTTATTATTCAATAATTTGAAAGTTGAAATGATTAAGGAAAGTTTTAATTCGCAAATTAAATTATAATTCAGAACTGAAAATTATGAAGGTTAAGCTCTCTAGGGGGACGGTATTAATTTTTATGGAATATTTTTTATGTAGGTACTAAAATGCTTCATAGCGTTTTTGTTCTTCTTTCAGTCGTTTAACACGAAATATTTTTGTGAAACTCGGCCATTCAGAGGTTTTATCTGAAAGGCGACGTTCATATTTCGTACCGACCGTGGCGGTAGTTGATGAGCTTTTTATCTTGCTATGTGTAGGAATACAATCCCGCTTTAATTCACGCTTCAATTTATTTGTACATGTATGTCGACACAATCTACTTTGTAAATCGTGGATTGTACTTGATTTATACTCGTACACCATGAATAATTTAGTTAATTGTATACACCTAAGATGCGAAATAAAAGGTTAATTGATGAATGGGTAAGCGGTTCTCATACAAATAATTCATGAAGCGCAGGAGAGAAAGCAGATTGAACAAAAGTAGTTCTCTTCTTGGGGTAGATACTTAATTGGATTGCGAGAATGCTGACACATTAAATCGCGCGCTTAATCCGCACATTAACTAAATATCGGGGCCAAAAAAGGCGATGAGTCGTTATTATTATTTTTTTCTATAAGTCTTTAACTTCTATTCCTCTTCGTTCATTTCATTTCATCCGATACAACTGAATACCGAACGATCCTCGAGATCTTCGCACATACATCATTTTTACAACAAAACTTAAGCGATTGATTCTGTCTCACCAGTACAGAATAGCTTGTAAAACAAATTTTTGAATCGGCATTAGATTTACTTTTATTTGATGTGCCTACATACAAAATTTTATTTAAATATCTTAACAGATAAAAAAATTGGAATTGCGCAAATACAAAAGTTGGGTTGCGCATGCGCAATTTTTTTTATTCATCTGCACAGTTACCTAAGGTTTAAGGAATATTTACTAACGCAGAAAGCCTGACATAAACATTGTCCAGGGGCAAGTGGCCAGCGCCGGATTTAGGTATACGCACACTACGCACGTGCGTAGGGCGCAAAATTTTGTTACTTATAACGCCGGTATCACGACAAGCTTCCAATTTGCATCTTCGTCACGAGTGTCGGAGTGTTGAGTGCGCACGAGCACGTTACAAGGGGAAGGGAGAGGAAACGACGCCTTATAAAACGAAAACAACTAGAACTACGCATGATCCAACTTGCCACTGACTGTTGCCAGCTTGCCACACCACAGTTGAGTTCATTCATCGCGCATCGCGGCCTGTAGCCTGTAGTGTAGGTGCTGTGTCTCGTGTCGTGTCTGTCATACAGTACAAGCTGTAACACACAAACAGTGACAGACTGACAGAGCAGTAGCAGTAGGGAATTATTTATCAGTTGAACTGCTAAACAAATTATGATTCTTTTCTCGCTGTTTTTGAATGTAATGTAAGTTTTGGTAGTTTCAGTAAGACATCAGATCAGTGCTAATGCTAAACAATTTAGTCAAATTGAGTTTTGTAGTGACGATTTTCATTTTGATTTTCCTTCAGGTTGAAGCATTTATGAACAATTGGTGAAAATGGACAAACGATTGAAACGAATGAGTGGAGCGGCTGGCAGAAAAGCAAGAAAAGAGAAAGAAGAGAAAGAAGAAGCTGTGTTGAAGAAAGTTCGAAGAATGGAGACATTTTATAAACCAATAGAAAAACCTGAATCTGATACAACAGGTAATGTTAGTTCAGTACTACTGTCTACATCGCTCGAATTGCCAAGTACTTCTGCTGCCACAATACCATCACCATCAGCCACTGTAGTTTTAAAACATCAGCTTCAGCCTGAAGTTGATCAACTTGAACGAGAAGAGCTGCAAGGAAATATTCTTGACAGGGGAGATCAGCGAGATGAATTAGAAAAGTCGTCTTGTGCAGTTAGTAACGATCCAGCAGAATGGGTCATCAATGATGCTACAATTGATTATCTGATCTCCAGAGGTAGTATCGATCAGAATTTAAATGCTGATTTTCCCGAAACAAAAAAATTTTTTCCAACCCAGAAAAAATTCAGAAGCCTAACTAGGAATATGTTCTTGCGTGAACTTCAGAATGGTGAAAAACAAGTAGGAAAATATTTGATATACTCACCTAGCAAAAAATCAGTATATTGTATACCTTGTCGACTATTTAATGGCACTTCTGTCTTGGCTACAAGTGATGGCTGATTGGTCCAATGCACATCCTGTATTTTCTCATCATGACAATTCTCCAGAGCATTATAAATGTGGAAAACTTCTTTTTGAAAGATCTCGCGTTGCTAGTAGAATTGACAATCAACTTTATGAGCAAATTGAGCAGGAAATCAGTTACTGGAGAAATGTCTTGAAGCGAGTTGTGGCAGTTGTTAAAAAACTAAGCTCACGTTGCCTTCCTTTTAGAGGATCAGAAGAAAAATTTGGGAGCGTTCACAATGGAAATTATATGATGTGCTTAGAGTTAATAGCTGAGTTTGATCCTTTTTTAGCCAAACATATTACAGAGTGTGGAAATCCAGGCAGTGGAAGAACTTCATATCTTTCTTCTCAAATATGTAACGAATTTATTTCATTAATGTCGAAAAAAGTTACTGAGGTCATAACTCATGAAGTGAAGAAAAGCAAATATTTTTCAATAATTGTCGACTCAACACCAGATATAAGTCATACTGACCAACTTTCAGTAATTTTGAGGTATGTCAAAAATGTTCCTGTTGAAAGATTTATTCGATTTCTACCAAATGTCGGTCATAAGGCCAAATAAATGGCGGATGCTGTGATTCTAATTCTGGAATCAATGGAGTTGGACATAAAAAATTGCGTTGGACAATCATATGATAATGCCACCAACATGTCCGGCATTTATTCTGGCCTGCAAGCTATAATTCTCGAGTTGTGTGGTCTGGCTGAGTATGTACCTTGTTCTGGACATTCATTGAATCTTGTGGGAGCAGCTGCAGCTGAATGTAATTTAATAGCAGTCAAGTTCTTCATGACTCTCAATCATTTGTTCACATTTTTCAGCGCATCTACAGCTAGGTGGGAAATACTGACAGGGATGTTACAACCAGGTCAGAAAGTGCTGAAAAGAGTGGATGGCACACGATGGTCAAGTCGGCATTTTGCGTGTAGTAGCTTATATGGAAATCGAGAAGCAGTTTTAGCAGCATTGACGCGCATTCAAGCTGACCAATCACAGAAGGCCACAGTTCGTTGTGAAGTTATGGGACTAATTAAGCAACTTGGCCAGTTTCAATTTGTTTTCATGAATATTTTCTGGAATATAATTTTAGAAAGATTCCATAAAACGAGCAAAAAATTACAAGAAGTTGAAGGAGATCTTCAGGTAGCTGTGGTTCTCTATGAATCTCTAGTGAACTTTGTTGCTGCCTTGCGATCCGAAGCCAAATTTGAGGATTTTTTTCATGAAGCGAAAAATATTTTGGGAAGCAGTCTTGAACCCACAACTGAGACACGGACAGTAACAAGACGACGAGCTGCTGACGAAAGTGCTTCAAAAGAAGATGAAACAGTTTTGACGGGTAAAGAGAAGCTGCGAGTTGACTATTTTGAAATATTGGATAATATTGCTAACGAAATGCAGAAAAGACATGTAGCCTATACGAATGCAACTGATAAATTCAATTTCTTGTTCCATCTACATAACTTGGAACCAAATGATGTAGAGAGAGAAGCAAGGAAATTACTTGAGCATTACAAAGATCATATCGACGAGAATTTTGTGATGGAATGTGTCCATTATAGAGAATTTTTTAATTGCCTAGAAAATCCCGAAAAAAAATGGGCGATCCACGAAATGTTCGCAACTTTTAAAGAAAAAGACATGCAAGATGTTTTTCCGAATATAGATATAATTTTTCGAATTTTCTTATCTAAAGCTATAACAAATTGTTCGGCCGAAAGGTCCTTTTCCTTGCTAAAAAGACTATTGAGTTGGCTGCGGTCGAGTTTGGCAGACGAGAATTTGAACGACTTGAGTGTTC